AGGATTTGCTGTTCATTTTCATGGTTCTGTGAAAAAGAATCAATTTAACCTGGAGTTCACATGCAGGCTCTGTAACTCCTGCCATATTAAGTCTGCTTCTTGAGCAGTAAGACATACTCTTATTACTGTCAGTATTGATTCTGTAGCAGATTTTAAATTCTTTAAATTGCAGAATAGTAAGACCTTCCCTTAGCTCCAGACCATTCTTGCCTTGCAAATACAACACTGATGCAGATGAAATACATGAAATATATTGTCGCTGCTTTTAATAAAATGCAAAAGTTAACATTAAGAAATGAAAGATAAGTCATTGGTAACAGCAGTTAGAAAAACACTTAGTGGAATAGATAGAAGGGTAAATACAATCACCATCCTCCCAACAAGTAAATTTTCATCATTTTTTCAAAAGGATTTGTTAACAACCAAAATTTCAGAGCATGGAATTAAAAATGAAACCATTAAGGAAGGTTTCAGGGACAACTGATATTTTTATTCCTACTGTTGGTCTCTTACGAAAAAGAAACACATATTAGGGATGAGAGAGACAGACAGTACGGAACTGAAACTTGTGATGTATCCCTTTTTCTTTTTCCCCAGAAGTGCTCAGTTCAGCAAGTGAAAATAGTTCAGCTACCATTGCTCGTTCAGCTCTCTAGGCTGGGCCACATCTGTCAATACAGAGATACAATTTGGCATGTGCTTTCATTTCAAGCCCTGAAAATGAGACTTAACTAGGTTGTTGCATATTAAACCAGCCCAATTAAAAAGGGTAAATAAAATTTTCAGAAGCTTTGTGTTTGTAGAAGATTCAGTGAAAGCAAGAGCAGTCTCTTTAGCTGTGTTTTAAAATTTTAAAACCATCTGCCTTCCTTCATGACTAGTCGGATTTTTTTCCAACAGAACTGGCCTCAGTTGACAGCATGTCACATACTGACTGACCTTTCCTCAAGATTTATACAGCTGACTATTAATTTTAGGAGGAATGGGTATGCGCACGAAGCCCAGCTTGAATAAAGGGTCAATAACACCTCTAAAATACTGCATTAAAACTATCAGCAATACATAGTTCACTAACAGAGTCATTAGCTAGCCATTCCATTGAAATTCCAAGCATGCAGCTATAAAGGTACGGGCAAGAAGCATTCCTAAGCCTGATGTTACTGATGTGTTATTAGAGCGGTCATCTGAAGGCAAGAAAACAAACATCTATTCCTATCACCTTAGCCAGAATGGGACACGCTAAGCTCACCTGCTTTTTTCACCTCAGAAACAAAATCCCAGATAGATTTCATATAATTTTCAAGCTTCAAAGATGGACAGATTTGTTTCTTCTTATCTCCATAAAAAAGGAAGAGTAACTTTATGATTAAGGGTTCCTAATAAAAACTATCACAGGTATAAACACCCTTAATATAAGTTATTGTTATACAGGCCACTTTTAATCTACCAGTAGTCCCTGAAATTGCAGTTATAATAGCTGTCATTAAAACATTTAATTGCATGTTTGTGATTATATTATTATTACCAGGTTTGGAAATGCTCTTTAGAACAGCACATATACCATAGTATACCATCTACATTGCCTGTACAAACAAAACTTTAATAGTTCCAATGGTTATCACCATGCTTGTTATTATTGCTAGATTTTCATCAACCACTTGTTAGAAAACTCGAAAAATTTCTTCCCCAAAGATCTCAAAGTACATTTAATTTTACACACATACAACTTCACTTCAACAAACACTGAGGCAACTCCTGTGGACACTGGCTAAATAAATAAATTATATATAGCAATTTATCAGGTGGAGAAAAAAAATGGAAAATTATAACCTTGGAGTTCAGTTATTCTGGCAATCTCTCTCTCTGAAGTATGCCAAAGAGCATAGCACTCTTACTGCCAATACTACACAGATCCTTCCTGTTCTGTCTTTATCGCCCGCTGCAGAAAATGGTATCAATACAAACCTCCATATGGATGAGATTTCTGGATGTCTAGCCCGCTACCTCAGAACGGCTTTCACTTTCCCACCACCCCAGAAAGCCAGGAGAGGGCCCATAGTAACACAACAGTTGCACAAGCACTTTAAACAGGCATAGACAGCACACTAGCCCTTCCTCTACCACCAGCAACTCATTGCCATCCCCTCACAGTGCAAATATGGAAAAGGCAAGGGCAGTTCACCTTTTTTTCCTAGTTTTTCGTTTGTTTGGGTTTGTTGGGGGTTTTTTTTGACACCAATGCCCACTAGAAGTGTTCCTGGAGCTACAGTAAATTACTATGATATACTGAAGATGCAGTGGTTCTGTGGCTCTGAAGCTACTGACATGCTGGATCTGAGCAGGAAGGACATGCGCATGGCCAAGAAATGACTCTTGGGAAGGCAGACTCAGATTAACAGTCAATAAGCTCTCAAAAAACATCAACCCCCAAATTTTGGTAGCCTGAAACTACCGGACTACATGCAAAGGTATGGTTCCTTTTTAATACATCCACATGGTTCTGTTACACAAAATGGGAGGCATGAGTCAGGGTGCAGAAGATCATTTGAATGTTGCCATTTTAGTTATCTTATTCTCACTTTGGTGTTAAAAATTTGCAGTCCTACCCAGCAATCTTATCCTGCTATGTAAATCTTTTTAAGCAAAATGCCTTATTCAAAGCTTACTATTGTTAGCCGATATCAAATCAGTGTAGCAATTCGCCATCAGCGTATCTTGATCTAATTACGTTCTGGAAAGAATCGAAATAGATCTAAAGAAAATTCAGATAATGGAACAGGCAAAACAAGAAAGGGAAAGGAGGAGCATAAACAAAAGATAAAGGAAGAACAGAGAATAAAGGATAAAGCTCTGAGATACAAAAAATAGGATTAGGTGATAGTGAAATCGTGGAGGGTACACGCAGAGGCATCCCATAAAGAAAGAGGAAGACCAGGGATTAAAAATGTTACCATCATCTAACACATTCTATGAAATTAAATGTCATTCACTGAGATGTGAAAATGGTGTGCTTAGGAGTAGAAGTCAAACAACGCACCTGATCTGAAATCTATGAGCAACCAATGTTCATTTGCACTATGTCAATGGACTTCAGATACAGTCAATGGAGACAAAACTTCACCCTCCTATGGATCTGCCTATGACTGACAGCTCTGCATAACATTTAGCAATACATCAGAATTTAACTGCAGGCATAATGCTCACAAAAAGGCCAAAGATGCCAAGGATACTTCCAGTATAGGAAACATACCTTGTTTAATTTGGATGATGCTCAGTGGAGTTCTTTGTTCTTTTTAGTACACACCAGTACTAAAAAGTCTGTGGGCTCTCAAAAATTGTATTACAATTCCTTTTCTTTCAAGATTAAGGGAACAAGAGTCCATTCCAATTCTTTTTTAATGTCTATTTTTATAAGGGTACACCAATTACAGAAGGCCTTACTTTTTCCATGTCCTATCCCATAATACAACTTTCCTCAACATTCTCAGGATCCCAAGGATTGATAAAGAAATCCGTAAATATAGCAAAATGAATTATAAAGATTTTGCTACACTTCTCAGTAAAAATTCTTTCCTCAAAAAAAAAAACCAAAACAAACCAGAAGAGGAATATCTTTCCTCTCTTTAAATACGCACTTAGAATCCTTTAGTGCTGGAATTAGAAGGGATGTGTGAATACGACTAGTGTCAAAATACAAAGCATACTGAATGAAAAACCACACCTTTGTAAAGGGAAACAACTCATTGTAATTTGCACCTCTTTTGCAAGCATACCCCTTGACAAATAGCTCATTGCAAAGAAATCCATCCAAAAGAAAAATATATCAAATTCACTCTACAAATTGTAGCTAGACAGCCATATAAAGGCAATTCTCAAGTCATAAGGAATGGTTTAATTCTCCCATGTTAATATCAAGCTCTTACTAATGACATATAAAACTACCTTCAGAATAATTTTTCTCAGTGGGAACACTTACATTGACCTATAGAGTACCCTTGTGTCAGGCGCTTTACGGAAAAGCTTCAAGGCAGTTCTGATCCACTAACTTGATAACCCAGATGTTTCTCACTGCTGATTGCACTTACCTAAGCTGCCCCCACTGCAGACAAACCTCTATACAGCAGTTTCAGAGGAAGGAACCCAGCCTTTCAGGCAGATAAAGGTTGTCTTCAGATTGAAACAGAAGCCAACAATATTACTGGGCCTAATCAAAGACTTTTTTCTATACTTTTTACAGTCATTTTCTTTGTACTTCTGGCACCATCTTCGTTAGGAAGATTTATTGTCTGCTTTTTAAGATTTATCAGTTTGCAATGGCCACCAGATGAAGGGATCTCTTTAAACCACTCTGTATGGGGAGAGTATGAACATATGCATTACAGTTAGAGCCTTAATTTCTTCCATGATGGAAATCCACTTACAAACATCAATAATGAGGGGGAAAAAATTTGAGACAGTTTTATTCAAGACATGCTGTTTACAAGGTGCTCTGTATTCTGAAGTTATTGCCTTACAAGTATTCAAACTGACTGTGTCCCTTAATTTAAGAAGTAAAAATGAGGGTTTTTTGAGTAGCTGAGAAATTAAGAGAGTAACAGATTTACTTGTTAATTGATAACACATCACAAAAATAAAGGTTTTGGACAAGAATCATTTGAACATTGCTATTATAGTTATCACTGTTTTTCTTAAAAAAAGGTCTATTTACTAAGTTACAAATACAGACAACTGTTGCATCATCTTACAGCATTGGAATTGCTGTTGAATATCAGGGAAGGGTAATAGGATAGATAAAAGTTCTCTAAAAGAGAAAGCACCAGAACTAGCAGAAAGGTGGGGTTGGTCAGCCCTTCATTTGAATGTAAATGTAATTATGAGGCAGGCAGTTAGGCTGACGTCAGACAAGATCTTGGTAAACCATTACCACCAGCACCTGGTAACACAGTTGATAATAAAAGAGGATGAAGTAGAAGATTCCAAGCAGAGTGGCATTATTAGAGAAAATCAAACACAATTATTTTTAAACAGCGAAAGAAAATGCGGAAGAACAAGATGTTGTGACAACGTATTTACAATCTGTGACAATCATGTATGTGAGCTCTCTCTTGGATAAAGAAACCAGCATGTATCCAGGATCTGCAAGGTGCAGCAGCAACAATCTGCCAGTGCAAAACTTTGTGTCTACTCCACCCTATTCAGATTACATGGGATATCATCATGTGCCAACCCTGGACACCCATGGACAGCCTGCGGGAACCTGGGGATCTCACTATGGCCCACAGAGGGAGGACTGGAATGCTTACGGCCCAGGACCTTCCAGCACGGTTGCTGCTGCACAGATCAATGGCTCGTCTCCTGGACAGGTCTCCTACAGTTCTGCTGATTACAGCTCCCTCCATCCTGCTGGATCTGGGGGGTTACCTCCTGTAGATACAATTAATACACAGCAAATCTCTCCCAACAGCCAAAGGCACAGCTCTTATGAATGGATGAGGAAAACAGTGCAAGCTAACACTACTGGTAAGTATATATCCAACTTTCAACCTGAGAAAGCATCTTCTGCTATCACTGATCTTATAAATAATTAACTTTACTTGAAGCACATAGGTTGGTGGGTCATTTATGACATTTATTTAACCTACTGCTGTTTAATGCAGTTTTAACTAAATTTGCACTAGTTTCACTTTCATCCCATAAAGGCTTTATAGGGTTACTATAGTGGAATGGCTGTTGTATTTAGATATGGCTGCATCTCACTCCAGTCCAGGAACCTTTGTTGTAACATTATGTAAAGCATTTTGGATGAAAAACATGAGAACATTATGGAACAACGAATGCAGCAACGTTTAACAGTTACAGGCAAAAATGCTACATAATTATTTTGTGCCGCAAGGTAAATACCAATACAAAATCAGGTTGATCTTTTTAAATCTTTACAGACTTTTCAATACTTCTAAAGAAAATTATGTGCTCAAAATTATGTGTTCTGATCCAACTGTAGTGATTATGCAATTTTCTGCTGTTGTTCCTGTGTCTTTTATTTTTCTATCTAGATTTATTAGGTGAGAAGAAATATTCTTAGCGAAGTAATCTGACTCAAATGACCAGCGTAGGATATTTTGTTTGCAGACCACATATCCGATCAGTTAAGCTTCCTTTTAATTTAGTTTTAAATCGGTTTTATACCATTTTTCTCATGTACCAGAATTTTGCAGCTTGCCACAATTACACAATTAAAAATCACTTTCTTGCACGTGTCACTCATTGATGCGCCTGTTTTTGTCACAAGCTGCATGCCAGATGAATCTTTCGGTGTATATTCCCAAGGTGTAAATTGTGTGTAGCAAGCTTTGCTAAATCTATTGTTAAGGTTAAAAGTAGTAAGTGTGTGTTACAGAGCATCAAAGAAAATGGTCTACAGAAAGAAGAGCAATTAGAATTGGAGCAATCTTAGAAGACACAGAAAATCAGCACTGCTGCTTGAGACACAATCCTCCTTCAAATGGTTATTACTCAAGAGCAAAATTAGTCTAGTAATTGTTTCTTAGTAATAAAGCAGATACACACTGTTTTCCCACTGTTACTAAATATAAAACGCCTAGTGAACATTAAGATATCACAATGTCATCCTTCCACTTGGAGCCTCTACAAAGGTCTTCAAAGCCAAGCAGACTTATAGTCTGTTTTTTGCCCCTTATGTATACTCATGTAAATCAGCAGTAACTTCATTAACATCATTAGAGATTTGCAGGTGTAGAAGTGATGCAAGACCTGAGTGTAGACCAAATTCAATTGAGACTACCGAATGTCAATGAGGCAACCCTGCCTCTGTCATGTTGTCACGGAATTTTAAATGTGTTAGCATTCTTAAAGAATAAAACTAAAAAAATCTAAATCCTAGTTTTACACTTATTACACAGACATGGAAGACCCTGAAAGGTTTCTCACACGCTTCCTCAACTTCATAAAATATATATGCAATTCAGAAAAGCAGTTATGTGCTTAAATTAATCTCTAGTCTGAAAAGCACTTACACAGAATTTACACACATGCCAAAATACTTTATGAACAATACTGGACAGGTGAATCCAGGCCTGTCAATAGATACATGTCCTGAGGCTGTACATTCCTAAAGCCCAATCTTCTGAAGTGTTAAAAACAGCTCAGGACTTCACAGAATTGGGCTCAAGACATCAACCCAGCTTAAAAAAAGGGTTTGGGAGAGTAAAGCACAAATGTGGTATTTTGCAAAACAAGAAAAGTACTGAATAGATCTGGCTTTTCATTGGTGTTTTTAAAATAATGTTAACTGTAAAAACTGGAAAATTTTAATACCAACCATAAAAAGTTGTGAAAAATGAAAGGAAATTCAAACAAATAATGACAAGGCTAAAATTATGCATGTAACAGCTACATATTAACTTATCAATGCTTTCTCTAGAAGATAATGTAAGAAAACTTACTTGATGCCATTATAACCACTCTTTGAAACAGACGTGCTCTCTGTTTTTCCTTATTGCCATAATATCATTCACACTATCAAAGGAGCTACTGGCTCCTCCCCTTCAATATTATTGCTGCTTAATACAGTTCATTGCTCTAAAATTTCAGAATTACAGTCCTAAACTTTAAAAATATATTTATATACATAAATATGTGTATGTCCTTAACTTCACTAGTGGCGTGTACTCACATCAATGTATGTGAGCAGCACTGAATAACAGAATCAAAACACATCTAATTAAATGAGGGAGCCTACTGAAATACTGTCCTAAAGACAATGGGAATTATTTTTGAGGAGGGGATGTTAATGAGCATTTTTTCCCCCTCTATTTAGACTCTATTAAATACACTACATTCTGATTCAATATTTGTATTTAGCATTTTATACAAAAAATTAAATTGCAGGAAAAGTGAAATGAAAATTTACCTGACCAAGTCAATTCTCAGGATGAAACAACATCACGAAGACAGAAGTACTACGTCCTTTCAACAGATAAAATTTGATTTGAAATTATATATCCTCTTAGTAAAAGACTGTAACTGTATATTCAGAACCAAACCTTTTTTTATTTCAAATGCACAGACATTGCAAACATATGAGGCAATAAGAAATTTTAAAAAACAAACTTCGAAAGTGGGCTTGGTAAAGATATCTTCCCAGACAGGCTATCAAAATGAGAAAAAGAACATCTACAAAATTCCTTACAGTCCGATCTTGTTTTTACTAAAAATCAATGACAAAATGCCCTATCAACTTCAGTTATGTAAGAACAGAACTTCAGACCAATTAATTTCTAAAACCTGTGTAATCAACAGTGTAAAATGTGTATTTTATGAGAGCAAGTAAGCCTTCAAGGCATGAAACTTACTGAAAAGAAGGTATCTAAACAAGGGCCTAGAAAATAGATTTTATATCTTTTAAAACTTTATATGAAATTTCACCTGGGAGTGACCCTTCTCAGAAAAAGAATGGACTTTAAGGGGACAGAACAAAAGGACAACATTATATTTATATTTTGCAAGATCAGCCTCAGCTTTTTTTTTTTGAACTACAGTCAACACATTTTATGTCTTTGTTTAAACAAGCAGTGATGTACAAGTAATTCAGATTACATCACAGCAGAAACACAGCCAGAAAGCAAAACAGAAAAGCAGGAAAAAAGGCCAGGCCTCTGCTCTAATGCTAATTTATTTTGCTTTGTAAACTAGTTGTGACATCTATTTTCCACTGGCCTACATTGTCTGAGGTTTTGAGGCCTATCTGTCATATTGAGGCAACAGACCCTTTCAACACTTCTCTTCCCTTTGATATGCAGTCTTGTCTCTTCCTTCTCCCTCCTTTCTTCAGGAGTTATATTGCCGGAAAGGGTGATGATTTTCACAGCAAATAAAGAGGCCTTCTCCTAGCTTTATTGTCTTCAGAAGAAATGCTCTGTGAATTTTATGACCAAGGGGAATGGGGAAAACTACTCCTTTTCTCCACCCCCTCAAATCATGGTTATATTTGCTGATTATAGTGAAGCCGGAATAACCCTGTTGAATTTTAACTTGTTTTCAAAGATTACCTTCTAAGCCTTCAGTTTACAAGGAACCTGAATATCTATACTATTGTTAACATTAGAACTATCACTTAGAGCAAATATTTCAAAGCCAACAACTTGTACCTTGGAAAAAAGGTAAACTCAGTTTGATGATTGTTTTAGTCCTGCAAATTTAGGCAGGAAAACCTTGTACACTCGAAGTCAAAGTGGCTAAGGATTTGCAAAAACATTCTTAGTTATGCATATTTCAAAATGTCTTAAGCTATGTCTACCTCTAGCCTTCAGATAAAAATATCTCAGTCTATCCTCAATGTTGGTCCAAAAATTAGAGAGAACTGAGGACAAAAATATTCCTTCATCTATTTCTGTCCTTTTTTCCTCTGCTAAGATGAAAGAGTCTGACATTTGTTTAGGGCTTGTAAATTCCAAACCAATTGGCTTGTGTTTCTGAATGTGAAAGGGGTTCTGATAAGATCTCCTTGTCGCTCCTTTGTGTGGCGTGTGCTTCATCTTAACACCTCAATGGATTTTAGGGAACCACTTTAAAGGAGTCTTTGTCCTACAGTTTGTCCCAGAAAACTCACATCAAAAAAAACCTGGGAAGATCAGAAGAAAAAGGAAAACTATCTAGTTGGCTGTTGAAAGTGCAAAGGAGAACAAATAAGTTGAAAAGTGATCTCTCTGTATTATTATTATATGAAGAACTGTTTTTAAAAGTCTATGAAATGAGAGAGATCTTCTAAACATCAAGTAATGCTTCTCTTAACAGTATTCATCCAATATATCTAAGAATATTTCTTTTACACATTAGAGAGAGAATGATACTGAAATCCTCTTACAAGTATTTTATTGCCTCGTCTTACAAATTGCGAAGTGCCTTCAACTCCAAAGGGAAGCTCAGCACACAGAGTACCCCCAGTAACAGCTCTACAGGCACTCAGCATCTTGCAAGACTGGACCTTTTTGAAAAAATGAATTCAAATTGTTATTGAACTTATAAGCATGTCCAATGGCCACACAAGAGAGTGAAAGCATTTCTAGTAGGACATTTCTTTGTGTTAGAGAGGTGATCTTCAAAAACTCAAATAAAGAATTAGGACACGGTACAATTAAACAAATTGTGACTGAACTTCAGTCTCGAAATCCTGTGTATTTATGCCTGCATATACATGGAAGTATTTTGAATGAACACTGAAATGAAACCCCTTTGAGATCAAATATAGCCAGCACCAATTATGTACTGCTATGAATTATTAAGATGCTTCACTTGAGCTTTACATTTTAAATGTATGTTTACAGAGAGAGGGAGATAAAGAGGAAAAGACAGTTATGATAACCAATCCTCACTCACTTATTCACTCTGAACCTCATATTCCTTCTCTGTAACACAGAAAACAATCCCATGCAAGTACTCTGTAGTTTAATGGATGTCTGTAAAATGTTTGAGATGTTTGAAAGAAAGATGCTATAGAAAATCAAATTCAACATATTAATAATATTTCTTTCTCAAACAGGTAAAACAAGAACAAAAGAAAAGTACCGAGTTGTTTACACAGATCATCAGAGACTAGAATTAGAGAAGGAATTTCACTGCAACAGATATATTACAATAAGGAGAAAGTCAGAACTTGCAGCTAACCTGGGACTATCTGAAAGACAGGTACACAGAGACTATCCATCATTCGTACACACCCATTCACCAGACACTGTTACTGCCAGAGGACACGAGCAGCATTCACTTCCTGTATCCAAAAGTAGTGCGAAGGCAACCATGATAAAGTTTGTGAGTATATTTGACACACAGAGAATACACTACGCAAATAAAAATTATTAAATAGGCTAATTTGACAGAAACCTCCAGTTACGGGTAACTAAACATTAGGAATTCATTTATACTGGAAAGAGTACTTATTCTTACATGCATAACAGCTTGCTAGACAGCTAGAATTTAAACAGTTCAGCTTAACATTACCTTAGCTATGTTCTCAACAGTTATGACATTCACCATGGTATTTCTTCTTGCAATCACACAAAATGGTGGCCAGAAAAAGTCCAAAGCATTGGATATATTTCAGCTGTAAGCCAGGAATTCAGCATTCAAAGAGCAATCAAACAAGGTATCTATGTATTTTATGTTACAAATTTATTGCCGCTATTTCCACAGGCCAGATTCTTCCTCAGTCAGTTAGATTTCAGCACATTTTAAGAAGTTTTTACAGCCTTTGATTTTCAAGTCAGGATTTCTTTTTGCTATTATGTTCACAGGTACTTCACCTGTAGTAGTAGTTCACACCCACTATATACAGGATGCTTTAGGCTATAAAATTTGGTGCCAAATGTTTATGCCTATTATACACATATATGTAGCCAAGACTATCCACTCAGGAAATTTTCAAGTGCGTACTTAGATCCATTGCTTCTTTGGAAAGCAGCTCTGCATTCATTCATATCAAGTACATATTTAAGCTCTGTCCTGAATAAAGATAGTCTCCTAAGCAGGGGCCCAGGGATCTTAGCTGTGTCCATACAAAGACTAGAGGAATTCAGGATAAAGAATTTCCTAAAATCACTGTGTTGGACAGCACGCTGACGAAGCACAGCTCTGCAGTCTGCAAATCTAGTAACTGTTGAATCCAACCCTCCTTACACAACAGAATTGCAATGGTTCTGCTACAGTTGGAGGATAAGGGAAGATTTGGCAATACTGAATAAGGCATCTCATACCTTAGCAACCAGATTTATTGCCCCAGGTAAATTTAAACAAGAGATCTTTCTTTTCAGAATTTTACATACTTTTGTTCTTTCTGAAGATACATATTCAGTTCTCTAAAATATTCTCCTCTTTCAGTGGCCTCCTCTGCTGCTGCATTCAGTCTGTGCAAGAAAATGGAATAGAGAGGGACCAATTGAGGCTGGAAGAGTAAGGATACACGGATAAGCAATGATATTTTAGGATCAAGCACTGGATGCAGTGATGTTCAATCTCAGACCTAAATAGTACATAGATTACACTCTGCAGACTACAAGTGGCCCCAGAAAGTAACTATAAAAAACAAGTCTATCATTGAAGTTTGTTACACAGTAGGATGTAGCTCCATCAGAAATTTTCAGAGAACTGCAATTATAAAAGACCCAAAACCTCTGCTTTAATGTTATGCAAGCTGGCTGATTTAAAACACAGACATGCCTGGAGTAACCAGTGATACCGCATAAAATCAATAGTTTCCTTTTACACAGTTGTTGCTCTTGAAGCCATCCAATTTTTGACTGGTAAATTTCCTTCAAGTATAATGAAGACAAAATACATAATCTGCATTTCTACAGGACTCACAACAAAGCTAAATGCTTCTTACTGTCATTACCAGTAAGGTAATAAAATAATAACTATTTGGAAAATAATAAAAATATTTTTAATATAAAGCAATGGTACAACTTTCTATATAATATTGTATTCAACACACCTTAAAGGATAGAAGAGAAACTATAAAGTAAGAACACAAAAAATTAACGATAAAGAAAACACAAATGGGGTTTTCTACTCATTCACACTTTCACATAAGGAAAGAAAATATAGATACTTAAACTAAAAGTAGATTTCAAACAGATAAGAGTCTTTTCATATGCACAATTAGCCTGGGAAATTCATTGTCATTAAGTAGAGCTGATAAATCTATTTAGACATGACATAGTATATATATATATTTTACATACATAAATATATAGCCCAGTAACAAAAAAATGTGAAACACTTAAAACACATAATAAGAATATACATACACACACAAATCACTCACAATATAAATGAAGAAAAAGGACCCTCACTACTTGTGTTTGAATTAATCTGTAATGTGATGAAGAAGTAATCTTCAAAATTATTCCATAACAACACATGGCACTGTCAAAGCTTAGATGATGAACTAGGTGGACCCTGAGTCTAAATAACTAAGCTGACTCCTCTGTTCCTAAATATTACAGAGCAAGTTCACTTTACACCAGGTCTAAGAAAAGAAAGTAATTTTCTATTGATTATGACGTAGAAAATGAATACAGAGTAACTAAAAAAATTTTCAGTGCACAAAGCCAGTGTTGGTTTTTTTGGTTTAGGGTTTATGGGTTTTTGTGGGGTGGGGGGTTTTTTGTTGGTTTTGTTCATTTGTTTGGTTTTTTTAACATATCTGTATTTTCATTGCTAGTATTACTGTAAAAAGTTGACGACTGCTTTGAATTAATCAGATATCATTTATAACACCACAGGTGAAAATCTGGTTCCAGAATCGCCGAGCCAAAGAAAGAAAAATCATCAAGAAGAAAATATCTCAGTTTGATGGCAGCGGGGGCTCAGTTCAGAGTGACTCTGGTTCACTCAGTCCAAACGAAATATCTAGTTCTCTGTTCCCACCACCACATGGAATAAATGGATTACAGCCTAATGACATTCATCAAGTCATAGTTTCAGAATGAACAGGAAAAAAAAAAAAAAGGAAAAAAGAAAAAGAAGGAATGGATTTCCCTGCCTCCCCTCACCCCCTTGAAAACTCAACTCTGCAAAGGACCATTCTCATTTAACTGTCTTCAGAGTGCTGATTTCTAAGTACAGGATCTGGGACTACTATCAAAATATTTTAATTATGGCAGAAATCTCAGGGAACTTGCGCTGCTAAGATCCATCACTCAAAGTCTTTGAGTAGGAGGTAATTTGCTTCAGACACTGACACAAAGAATGATACAACTGAAGATTCAAGTAAACGTAGTTCTAGTCTGATCATATATATACATAGAAAACTAAGTGAACTGATTATAGAGTATTATTGCATAAAATATAAGATGCTGGGTGTATTTGGTTTGTTACATGTTATATAATTAGAGAAAACCATAGATGTTAATAAATATTCACACTTAAGTGTACTGAAAAGAATGCCACTTTTTGAAAACAACAAAACATTTAAAACACTTTTAAACATTCAAGAAACATAACAATGTTGCTATGCCAACATATTGCATTTAATTAAATAAAACAAATCATCTTTGCCCCATGTAATTCAAGCATGCCAATCTCCTAAGCAATAGTTACAGATATATCATATCATACCAAACCTGCCAAGATTTGTTCAATTGTAAGAAATGCAGCAATTTGTCATGCACGTTAGTAAATGCCAAATAGTTTGGAAGATATCGGTATTACTTCAATCCTCAATGAATCCACAGATTATTGCTCAAAAGTATGAGCACAAATGTAATGGAAAAAGAACCGTTACTACCAGCAAACCACCAAAAAGCAAATAAAGAATTTGTTTAATGTCCCTAAACCTTTTAAGTGAAATAGTAGCAGTCTTGGGCCACTGATTTTATACGTGACACTTATTTTGGGCTAAAGGCAAAGTAGCTGACACTGTATTTCGAAGCTGTCATCAAGCAGCTTGGCATTCACAAAGTCACAGCAAGCATGTAACAAAAGAAGTGTTCACTCCATGTGCACTCCTGAAAGAGCACAAATTAAGGATAAACATGTTCACAGTGTGGTTAGCTTTAATTATTGGTCCATGTTGGCAGGTGAGAAGGTAGCAATGGTATGTAGAAGACAACTGATGAGTCTGGAAAAAGTAGAAAGAAAACCCAAAGCACTAAAAAAATCCCCAACCCTTCAGTAGTACTATTCATTGGAATTTCATAATATGAGCTTTTTGATAGCATGCAAGTAAGTGCTCTGTTGGAAAAATTTAATGTTACTGAAAATGTCATCAGGAACAAAGGTAATAAAAAGGGAAAACAGAAGAAAACAAACAGAAAACACCGTTATCTGGCATATGAAAAGTCATGCATCACTTACTTCAACAACATAAAATTCTTGGTCTCAGAAACAGCAGATCAAATTCTGCTTTTCTTAGTGTTCAACAAGCATTGATAATGCACCAAGCAACATGGACAGAACTTGCCAAAGCACTCATTATCTGGATTCAATAAATTAGATCACTTAAATTCGAAAATGTGCCTCACTGTTTCCCAATTATTTAAAAATAACTCTGTTAGAGTAACTCCATGAAAGTAATTCTATTAGGAGTTACAATAATAACACTCTTCAAAAATAAATACTAAGTTATAAAATTGTAGACATAAATGTCTCAAGCTAAGCTAGAAGAAAATCTGTAACACAGAATAAAATCTTACTGATTGTAAGCATTTTGTGGGTGGTTCTCCAATATATTGCTAGTAATTTCTTATTCATATGGTTAAAATAAATGGACATATCTTAATGCAAACAAAAAATCTTATGTATATAAATATTTATGAAACTCAACCCTATGAGAAATTGAGACTACATCTGCATGGCTTTAATTCAGCACCTTCTAAAACTGCTCACTGATACTATAGTGTTATGTGATTGCATGGACATTTTAGAAGACAGAGCAGCATGTTATAGAACATGCACACAAACAGATCTACTTTTGTTTATATTGAGAGAAGTATACATGCTAGCAGATGGCAAGACACATACATGCTCCTCTGCTCTGCTTTTTATTCAAAGAAATCCATACATTTGCTCTATAACAGATTTGGGAGAGGAGGTTTTCCCAGTTCCACCAGCCCCCCTACCTGTGTTGTCCTTTTATACATGAAGGATGTAGAAGATAAAATAATTTCCCAAGAAACTCATGAAGAAAGAAGCTGTAATACTTCAGACATACAAGAAAAAAGGGAAGAGGACCTTTACCTTGCTATTCAAATCTCAAATCATCAAAAGGCCTACCTTTTAGAAGGCCTACCTCTATAGAAGAGCAGGCGATGGCTTTTGTGAAGGTATCAGTAACAGAGAAATGGAGAGTGAGAGAAAACTTTTTTCTTAGTTTCTAGATTTTTCTTCTGTGATCAGTTTTCAAATCAACAAGGAAGAATGGCAAGTAAAGAGCTATAAACATACAACATGTCATTCATTATACTTGTAAACCAGAAATGCATGGTTTAACTTAAAATTTCTCTTTCTTTCTAATTTATGTCAAATTTGAAATAAAAAATTTACCTACTTATTTACGAGGTTCACATTCAACGTATTCAAAATTATCATCTGCAGTTTCTAAACAAGCTCCGGTCAGGAGCCAAGCAGTCAGGAAACACCATGCTATTCTGACAAACTGGGCAGAAAAGCCGCTGAAGCCATTGACTGTACTTCAGAACAACCACTGTTCATAAAGGAAATATTTTAAATGAGACTACTTTAGATGTCAAATGGGAGTTTGAATGGGATACAAAGCACCTCCTATGAGATGTTTAAAATCAGTCTTGTCAATAAAAAGTGTTCTCCTTTTTCATGATCTTCACCCTGATTTTTTTCCATCAGGTCTATTTTAAATGTATTCAAAGCATATATTAATAAATAGCTGGGGGAGATCTCTTTCATGCACTTTTATCTCTTTCGTGCACTTTTATCTCTTTCATGCACTAGATAATGATCTCTAAGCCCAAAAACTGTATCAGTTTATCTTCTCTGGCTACAGCTAAGTCAAATAAAAGCTATTCTCCCTATCTTGCACTGTGCATAACTACCCTCCATCTAGATCATAATGACCCTTTAAATTGAAGCGTAGTGCCACAGCTGTTTCTCAAAATAATCCAAGGGAAAAAAACATTATTAAATCCTTTTAGAATAACCTTGATCATTCTTAGTAAACTGAATCAGAGAGCGATTAAATATGCAGTCATATTACCAGATCAGGAGGATAGGAAGCCATGAAGAGGGGAAAATGGCAAGCTGAAAGAAGAAAATTCTTACTCTGTCTCTGACAGAGTTTGGACAGCGTATCTGACTCTTGACTTGCCTTACTTCAAGAAATGAACATATCCAAATTTGCCTAATGAGTTACACATTTCTATTTCTAAACAAAGGAATGTGGACCTGCAATGAGATGATGCATGCACCTGGAAAGGGAAAAAGAATTCTGCTAAATGCAACAACCAAACCCACAGAAATTACCAGGGTCTTTTTCTCATAATAAATTCCACAGCATTAAAAAAAAGCCTATGCCTTCTTTTTTGCCAGAAAACGTTATCCCAAATCAAAACACAATTCAGAACTACATGCTGGCACATTTTAATGGCCCATTAAAGACTACATGACAGCCTGACAGGAGTCCATCCTATATTCCAGTTCTGCCAAGATCAGCATGGGAACACCAGGATCAGGATATGCAGTTGGGTGGAGGCAACACAGCCATTACAAAGTCCCTACATCACTGTTATTTTCTGGGCAGCTATGTTTGACTCTTCTACATTGCGTATGTAAAGGAAAAGCTTCAGATGATGTGATCAAGCCCTTGTATTTAATTTTTGTATTTATGTGGGTGAGAAGAAACACTAAAGGCTATAAATAACATTTTACAATATTTATCTTTCCTCCTTTGAAGACTTCTCCAGGGATTTTAATTAGACTCTCCCTTAGCACCATTACGCAATTAAAATAATAATAAATCAAACACAATCCTTCTCACCCAGTGGGTATTTTCCCCAAGCTCTCTCTGTTTCCTGTCTTTTTCACTTTATGTAAATAGAAAACCATCACACTGTTTAAATTCAGCTGTTTGATTGGTATTTTGAGTTTGCAAAGTAGTGAGCCACTTTAACACCATGCTGATATCAAAAGAAAATTCTGCATCACATAACTGTCTAACTCCAGCAGCCAGCAAATCCCTTCTGACATTTATTTGAATCATCTTTATTCTTATGAGAATACTGTAGAGGTGCCAACGCTTTGGGAACAATCACCTTTCTCAGTTCCACTATCTATAAATACTTAATCAAGAAGGAACACTTTACCACTGTTCACGCTGAGACTCAATGTAGCAGCACAGTGATTTTGCTTCATTAACTAACTTCTAAATATTGATCTGTGGGAGAAAATAAAGAAAATTACAGATTTATCTGTAGTTACAGTAATGACAGATAGTTTAGACTAGAAATTGGAAAGGACCCTATTATAAGATACTTTAAAAAAATCATAATTTACAGAGAAGAGAGCGTAACTTAAACCCCTAATTGGCTGCTTGTAGTACTAACACAGGTCAAGTAAAAACCTGGATCAGAAACTTGACAACCTCTTGAAACTAAGATTACTTTTGAAAATGGATCTACCTCTACATTACGCATTTTCAGTATAAGCAGCACAGAACTGCATACCCCTACACAGCCAAAAACCTTCTAGACATTACAAAGTATTTGTAATCAAAAAATTGTACAAAAAAATAGTTTCGTTAAACCTCTCACAACACTCTTGACTTGCCTTACTTCAAGAAATGAACATATCCAAATTTGCCTAATAAGTTACACATTTCTATTTCTAAACAAAAGAATGTGGACCTGCAATGAGATGATGCATGCACCTGGAAAGGGAAAAAGAATTCTGCTAAATGCAACAACCAAACCCACAGAAATTACCAGGGTCTTTTTCTCATAATAAATTCCACAACATTAAACAGGATCAGCTA